CCGCCGCCGCCGCCGCCCGCAGCCTCCTCAGCGTCTGGGACAGCCCGGGGCCGGCGAGGGGCGGCAAGCGGGCGGCGAGGGCCACCATCGAGGTGCGGAAGGGCGGCTGCCTCCGCGCCACCGGCGAGGAGTACTGCAACGGCGCCGGGCTCTGGGTCAAGCTCAGCAAGGTAACGGCGAGGGGCTGGGAGGCCGCCGCGGCCTGCGCTGCCCGCGGAGGGGCCTGTGGGTCCGCTGACGGGAGCCGCCTGTCCCCCGCAGGAGCAGCTGGAGGAGTACCGGAGCGGCTGCGAGCTGGAGGAGGGCTGGGTGCTGGTGTGCAAGCACGCCGACGGCGGGGACCGGCTGGTGCCGGTGGAATCCACAGAGCGGATCCAGCGGCAGCAGCAGCTCTTTGGGGTGGACTATAAACCTGTCATCAGGTGCGGGGCCGCCGCTCTGTCTCTCCAGGTCGCCGTCCCTGACTTCTCTGGCTCCTTTTTGCACAGCGGAGAGCAGGGAGGTTCTCGCCCCCCATTCACCCAGGCCCGACTGCATGGGGTGTCGATGTGCTGCTGCCCCTCAGCCATTTCTGCCCTGGCCTGAGTTGCTCTGACCCGCTTGGCCACTTCCTCCATGGAAGTGAGACAAGAGGGGTGCCAGATGCGGAGTTAACTGGGTTTTGCTCGGTCCCTGTGCCTGTCAGCTGCCTAGCAGGGTGTGGGCTGGAAGAAGTAGAGATGGTTGGAAAGCAAAGGGTTGCAGATCAGGCTGGAGGTGATGGAGGATGGAGTACGGTGGGGCTTTAAACTCAAATTTTCCCCTTCCAGCAGCTCCACAACCACCAGCTCCTTCTTTCCCCTGGGATTTTCTCATTTCTCCCTTCTCTGGGTTGTTTCAGATGGGAGCAGGTGGTGGATCTGACATACTCGCTGCGCCTCGGAGCGAAGCCCAAGCCCATGGAGCAGGATGAGGCCGCAGTAGAGAAGCTTCGGTATGAGCTGTTTCCCAGCTTCTGTAGTGGTTGGGTGCAAGCCACTGTCTCTTCCTGGCTGCTCAGACAGCTGTCTTCTGCAGACTGGGGGGGAGAGGGGGAAGGCAGGCAGCGGGGAATAGCTGCTCAGCATGGTTTTGTCCTAGATAACCCTGCACAAAGCAGGGAACAGGGCAAAACCAAGGCAAGCAGGACATGGATCTGCCTTCCATGACCCATTAGCCTGGCTGCCCTGGCTCTCCAGACCCATTAATCCCTTTTCCCCGGTAGGTTTGTGCCTCCAACGTGGACTTATGAATGTGATGAAGACCTGGTGCATTTTCTGTATGATCACATTGGAAAGGAGGATGAGAACTTGGGCAGCGTCAAACAGTACGTGGACAGCATCGACGTCTCATCCTACACGGTGGGTTAAAGGGACAAGGCTGCATCACCCCTACTGTGCCATGTGCTTCTCTGGGCTGGGCTGCATTTGAGAATATGGGAGAGAAGCCTGGGGAGCATCCTGCAGCATATTGTGTAATGTGGCCCCTGGAGGGGCTGTAGTTTGAGAAGCAAATGCTAAGATTAGCTGCTAAGCTGATTTTAGGGAGAGTTTGATATTCTGCACTCTGTGTGTGACCCCAGAGCACTTTGGAGGGTCAGCCACAGTGTGGAAGTGCACTCTGTACTACTCGTGTCTGCCCACAGCCCAGCAAAGGGAATGGGCTAGTTTAACAACCTGTGGTTCTAAGATTCTTGAGAAGAGTAACCACTAAGGGGAAGTTAATCCTACCTCCATCTGATCTTCCTTTCATTTGCTGCTCTCTTCCAGGAGGACTTCAATGTGTCATGCTTGACTGACAGCCATGCCGACACATACTGGGAGAGTGACGGGTCCCAGGGCCAGCACTGGGTGCGGCTCAACATGAAGAAAGGCACTATTGTCAAGTGAGGCACCATCTCCCCTCCGTGCTGGCTCACAGCTGGGGCAGTCCTGCAGCCCCAACTCTCTGCATGAGCTCATCATGGCCCAAATATACCCTGTGCTCCCTGCCCCTCAGCCTTTGCTCTGGGCTTGAAGGGGTCTTAGCGTTCTCACAGGTACCTGGGGATCCCAGCACCAGCTGTGTGTGCTTGATAACAAGTGTGACCAGGCAATGAGGGGAAGCAGAAATGGGTGTTCAGATGCAGGTACCTTCTCCTCATTTTATGCTTCCCTTTGCAGGAAGCTCCTGCTGACAGTGGATACGACTGATGAGAACTTCATGCCCAAGCGGGTTGCCGTGTATGGGGGTGAGGGGGACAATCTGAAGAAACTGAACGACGTGGGCATTGATGAGTGAGTGGATGGGGGTGCGTGCAGAGTGTAGCATGCCCCTTGCAGGGGCCGGTGGTGCTGGACACCCCAACACTAAGCAGTCATGCCAGCACCAGCCTGGCTTAAGACATCCAAGGCCTTGGGACAGGCATTTTCCATCTCTGAGCTGCAGGTTCACTCTGCTGACAACAGCAGATGGGACAATCATCAGGGCTCTCCTGATCTGATTGTGGGACCCATTGCGATCGTGTCACCTGGATCTCAGGCACCAGGAGGTTCAGGCATTCAGCACAGGCCATGTTGTAGGCAACTGGCTCTGGGTTCCTGCCACAGGCTCCCATTTAAAAGAAGCAAACCCTCTTCTCTTACAAGCAACTGAGTGGATTTTGGCAGGATGGGCAAGGGAACAACTCTGCAGCCCTTGTCTATGCTGTGTTTGCAGGAGCTACATTGGGGATGTGTGCGTCCTTGAGGACATGACAACACACCTGCCTGTCATTGAGATCCGGATTGTGGAGTGCAGAGGTAGGGCTGGGTGTTGTGGCCGCGTCCATAATGCACCTGTAGAAGGCTGTACATTAAGAGTTTGTTGCTGTGGCTTGTACTTTGTGGCCCTGTGGGGTGTTTCAAATGAGGTGAAGAACCATGGGGAAAGTCCAGGGGCACCTGGAGATTTGCAAGCTCTCAGCTTTAATCCTATCTTTCTCTGCCTTCAATTATTTTTTTTTCTTCTGTAAATGCCTCACTACTTCTTCAAAGAGGTATTTCAGGCTCTCAGGATCGAGCCCCAGAGCTGGTGGAGCTGGTCACATTCCTAGTGCTTTTACTTGTAGACCTCCTATGATAGAAAGATTCCTTTCTCATGATCTTAGCATATCATCCATGGACTTCCTTGGCAGATGATGGGATTGATGTTCGCCTCCGAGGCATCAAAATCAAATCCTCCCGACAGAGGGACCTGGGGCTCAGTGCTGACATGTTCCAGTTGCCCAATTTAGTGCGCTACCCTCGCCTAGAAGGGACAGACCCTGACCTGCTGTACCGACGGGCCGTGCTTATTCAAAGGTACTGTATGGAGTGGGACAGACGAGTGGGGTGGCACTGCCTGCAGGGATTGGGGCCATCTCCAGCGCAAGTATGATTGGAAGCTGTAAAGCTGTGTGACTCCCCTTGTGACAGGCATCTCGGGCCCTGGAGAAAATAGCACAGTCGTTTAGGAACAAAGTGGGCTCTCTGGGGTAACTTCTCTACGCTTTCAGAGGAATTTTGCAGCTCAAGTTCACAATGTCCAGTGTGTCACAAGCACAGCCTATCTGTGCAGTGTGTGGGCAGGTGTGTGCAGAGTTCCTGCAAGGGGTGCAAGGTCCCTGCATTGCCCAGAGAGTGAGAGTTTAGTACCAAAGGCTCTGTGATATATAATACCATGCTGGATTGGGTTTGGTGCTGTTGTTACTTTTCTGCTGGTGTCCAGGCTGGAATAGGCCCGTGCAGATCCCCGTTCCTCCTGTGTTACAATAGCACCTTCTTTGGCTTTTAGGTTCATCAAGCTCCTGGACAGTGTCCTGCACCACTTGGTGCCAGCCTGGGACCACACTGTTGGCACATTCAGCAAACTCAAAGTGAGTAATTCTCTCTGTGTCTTGTGGGGCCTCAGTCTGGCAGGGTGATTGCATTTGGGCTGTGGCAAGGGAGGCAGTCAGTGCTTGTTGCCTTTAAAGCAGCTCAAGGGAAATACCTGTCTGAGCTCAGTTCATTAAAGCTGTGAAAGGTGATATTGTTTAGAGGTTAGATTCCTGCTAAAACGCTGATGTGGAAACATGTAGCTATGGGGTAACAAGTAGAATTAAAGCAGAGCACTTCACCCTCAAAAAGACTTGGACCATAGCAGCACTGGGCATGTGAGCTGGCCACACATCCCCTCCGAGATCTCAGTTCAGGACACTCTGTTCCTGCATTTGCTGCCAGCAGCTTTGAGCTGACTGTGTCCAAACAGCAAGGCTTTTACCATTAACTTTCTTCTGGCTTTGATAAGCTTTTTATTTCCAGCTTTTTCATAAGACTGAGTTTGTCCCTCCAGATGCCTGTTTTCCTTACATATTCTCTCCCAGAATACATGTGCTGAACATTGCTGGCGTAGCCCCATTCTGTGTGTTTCCAGGCCTGATATCAGAAAGCACTGTAATTCCTGTGCTGGCTCAACACAGGACCCAAAGCATTTGAGGATTCTTGTTTGTTTAGAGGAGCTTGCTTTGATTACAAATAGGAGGGATAGTAAGACCAGTGTTCTGGTAAGAATGAGGGTGAAGGAGAGTCCAAGCAGCGCTGGAGTGTGAGCATCCAATGACTTGATGGAGAGAGGACTGGGCTTGGTATCTCACTTAAGCAAGAAAGCAAAATCTTTTCGAGTCAGAGGTGGAGCAAATATTGTCAAGGAGAGTGCATCTGTGTGTGGAAGGCAGTGTCCCTGGGAAGGGGAGACACCTGGAGGTGCAGTGACTTCAGTAGGAAGTAGATGACATGTTTTGGACACTGGTCACTTCTAATCTTTTGATCGTACCTGTTGGCAGCATATCAAGCAGTTCTTGCTGCTGTCCAAGAGGCGCACAGCTCTCATTACCCAGTGTCTGAAGGACTCAGAGACCAGCAAGCCTAATTTCATGCCACGGCTCTATATTAACCGACGCCTGGCTATGGAGCACCGAGACAACCCTGCCTTGGACCCCAGCTGCAAGAACGCTGTGTTCACTCAGGTACTGTCCCTCCTGGAAAGGTCCCTGCTGCTCTGGGGAGACTGGGGCGTCCCAAAGGCAAAATGAACCACATAAAGGTGGGCGGAAGGGACAGCTTAGCTGGAGATACCAGAAGTCCTCAAGCCTCTTCACATGACTCATAGGTTCTACTCATGTGCTGATGATCCCATATCCAGGAATAACATCTAGGAAGGATTTGGGATCTCTGAGTTGTAGTCTTTATCCTGGATGCTCTCTGTGGCATGTTGGTAATGCAGAGCATAAGAATCTTATTACACTAAAAGGATAGCAAAGAATTATTGTGTGACAACAATAATGCAACTGCATACAATCCTGTATCGTGGCCAGCAGGTCAAGGGAGAGGATTCTCCCCCTCAACTCCACTCTCGTGAGACCTCACCTGCAATGCTGTGTCCAGCTCTGGGGCCCCCATCATAAGAAGGACATGGACCTGTTGAAGTGAGTCTAGAGGAGGCCACAAAGATGATCAGGGACTGGAGCACCTTCCCTGTGAGGACAGGCTGAGAGAGTTGGAGGTGTTCAGCCTGGAGAAGAGAAGGCTCCAGGGAGACCTTATAGTGGCCTTCCAGTACTTAAAGGGAGCTACAGGAAAGGTGGAGAGGGACTCTTTGTCAAGGAGTGTAGTGGTAGGATGAGGGGTAATGGCTTTAAACTGAAAGAGGGTAGATTTAGATTAGATATAAGGAAGAAATTATTTACTGTGAGGGTGGTGAGGCCCTGGCACAGGTTGCCCAGAGAAGCTGTGGCTGCCCCCTCCCTGGGAGTGTTCAAGGCCAGGTTGGATGGGGCTTTGGGCAACCTGGTCTAGTGGAAGGTGTCCCTGCCCATGGCAGGGGGGTTGGAACTGGGTGATCTTTAAGGTCTCTTCCAAACCAGACTTTTCTGTGATGCTATGATTGTGGTTTTACAGCAATACTGATCTTCCTATTGTCATTCTCCGCCCACCTCCAGAAGATCTGTTGCTCTATGTGTGCACAAACTGCCCAGACTGCTGTGAGATCTAATATGTGTTTGATGTACCTCCAAGGCCAGAAAGCTTCATACAGTGGTTAACACTGTAATTTATGTTCCTTTTCCAAAAATGAGGGGCTTTTAGACCATTTAGAGATCAGCTTTGGTCACTATTTAAGTTTGGGTCAAAACAGATTTCTTCCAATTTCCTGCCTTCACCTGGCACTGGTTCCCCTGGAGAGGGGATACCAGCCTTGATCTTCTCTGCTTGTTGCAGGTTTATGAAGGCCTGAAGCCCTCAGACAAGTTTGAAAAGCCTCTAGATTATAGGTAAGTGATGTCTGGGGGAGGAAGGGGAGCTCCCAGAACTGCGTATGTTCTCTGTCACAGCAGGGTGTTTGGGAAGCCTGTGTGTGTCCTGTGCTCTGGAGAGGGTTTGCTAGGGCAGCAGCCAGCTCAGCCACGGGATTGAGGCCTGATCCCCAAGGTGTCACGTTGCTGCTGAGGATGCAGCTGTCTCTGGAGATTGAGATCTTGTCCTGTCCTAAGCCCAGGCTGGTCCACCCTAGTCCCCTGGTGTCCCTGCTGTGCCTGCTGCCTCCCCAGCATCTCCTTGGCCTTGAGCAGCACCTCAGGCGATGCCTGGTTCTCCACAGGTGGCCCTTGCGTTATGACCAGTGGTGGGAGTGCAAATTCATCGCAGAGGGCATCATCGACCAAGGTAGGGGCTCAGTGATGCAAGGGCTCCTCTGGAGCAAAGTCGGAGGTTGATGAGGTGATTCTGTTGCTGTAGGGGCTCTCGTTTGCTCCCAGTGTTACTGCCCATGGAAGAGAAAAGAAAGGCAGGTTGCCTTGTCCTGCCTCCTCTGGCCATGTTCCAGATAAGGAGTGCTGCTTGCTGGCATGGGGACTAGACCTCCATTAGTGACTAACAGCAGCTTTGACAGTGCCAGTGCTCCCTCTCCCTGTCCTCCACAGCCCAGGCAGGGATGTTACTTCCGTTTTATTTCTTCCGGTGCCATAAGGCTCTGACCAGAGCCTTCTGCTCAGCCCTGGGCCAGGTTGGACCAGAATGCCTCATCTTTGCTCCATAACTGTCAGAGTGAGTGCATGGGGAGTTCACATCACTAAAATGCCCTTCTCTTGTGGTTGCAGGTGGCGGTTTTCGGGACAGCCTGGCAGATATGTCGGAGGAGCTGTGTCCCAGCTCAGCAGACACCCCTGTGCCTCTGCCCTTCTTTGTGCGCACATCCAACCAGGTGCTGTGGGTCAGGGTATTTGAGTCAGTTCTCTCTGTGCCTGGTGATGCAGTGTTGTCCTTGTTGTGCTACACACCAGGGATGTACCTACTTTTTTCTAGCCTGAAGCTTTTCCTTATGAAGGTTTGGGCAGATTGCTTTGTGGCATCCTGTTTTAGGATATGCTGACAAGTGCCTTGGGTACTTGTGTCTCACTAGGAATATTGCCAAGGAGGATGGGGGGTTTATCCCACTTCTGTTGTGAGAAGTGCCCAGAGGCACTGCAGGGTCTGAGTTTATGATGCTTTGTGCTGTGCTGAGATCATGACTTGGAGTTTTGCCTTTTGCTCCTGTAGGGTAACGGCACTGGAGAAGCCAGGGACATGTACGTCCCCAACCCTTCCTGTAAAGACTTCCCAAAGTATGAGTGGATTGGGCAGATCATGGGAGCAGCTCTGAGGGGCAAGGAGTTTCTGGTAAGCTTTCAACCTTGTCCCTGTGTGGAGGTTTTCCGCAAAGGGAGTCATTAAGCCACTTCTGCAGCCTGTCCGACAGGAGCATGGGAGGGCTCTGTGATCACACACAGGGATAAAAGGTGTTTGGCAGGATTTGGGGCTGAGGGGTTAGGAATGCTCACAGCCTGAGTTTTGGGAGATGCTGCAGGGAGCTTGGGAGAGGGTGTCAGCTCTCTGCTTAAGTATGATGAGCTCTGCATGTGGGCGGGTGAGCAGGGAAGCTCCTTTGTGTCTGCACTATTGAGCCCTATCTCCATCTTTGGGGATGTCTCCTTTCACACAGACTCAGCAAAAACCCTGTTCTCCTTCAGGTCCTGGCTCTTCCTGGCTTCGTATGGAAACAATTAACAGGGGAGGAGGTCAGCTGGAGCAAAGACTTCCCCGCCGTGGACTCTGTGCTGGTGAGAGGGACTGGGAGGCTGTGCCTATCCTTGTGGCACTCAGCGAGTTTGTGACTTGTGTCCCTGTCCTCATTTTGTACTTGCTTCTGTCTGTGATGTGTCAAAGAAACACACGCAAAAGGGCACACTTAACATTTAATGCATCCTATTGCTTGAAGGATGCAATGCCCCAGTGTCTGCTAAACAGCTAGCTCTAGGGCAGCACACCCCACGCTGTGCTGCTGTCACAGACACTCCAGCCCTTGTCTGGGAAGGGAGGAGATGGGAGCTCAGGCACACCACTGCCCACTGGGAATCTCTCTAACAAGCACTCATCTGGGGCCTGGGCAGGTGAAGCTCCTGGAGGTGATGGAAGTCATGGACAAGGACACCTTTGAGTTCAAATTTGGGAATGAGCTGACCTACACGACAGTGCTGAGTGACCAGTGCATGGTGGAGCTGATCCCCAATGGCAGCAGCACTGTGGTGCGCTATGAGGACCGCAAGGAGTTCATCCGCCTGGTGCAGAAGGCTCGGCTGGAGGAGAGCAAGGAGCAGGTAATGACGTTCCATATCGTCAGTGGTCACTGAGCTCCCAGACATGTACCCCCCAGTCTGTTTCTGGTAAAATGCATCGTGGTTAGTGTCCCTGTGCTCGCTAGTGCAATAGTAGGCGGTCCTTTTTGATGAGGTCACACAGAATCGTCTCAGTTGGAAAAGATCTTGAAGATCATCCAGTTCAACTATTAACCTAACACTGACAGTTCTCAACTACACCAGATCCCTCAGCGCTGTCAACCCGACTCTTAAACCCCTCCAGGGATGGGGACTCCACCCCTTCCCTGGGCAGCCCATTACAACATCTAACAACCCATTCTGTTCTGGAACCCATGGAGTTGAGAAGCAAAGTGGCTTGTAGTGGTATAGGAGACACGGGGTTTATTCCCAGCTCTGACACAGGCTTCCTGAATGAACTAGGATGCATCTTTGTGGGATCCTGTTCCTTTCTTCAGCCTCCTCGGAGCACTTGCTCAGCAGTCACGTGGCTTGCATCCAGTCAGGTCCCTAGGCTCAACCACAAGCCAGGGAGATGGGCAAGACTATCTGTCCTGTCTGCTTTTCAGATCATGGCCATGCAGGCTGGGCTACTGAAGGTGGTGCCCCAAGCTGTTCTTGACCTCCTCACCTGGCAGGAGCTGGAAAAAAAGGTCTGTGGAGACCCTGAAGTCACAGTTGATGCCCTGAAGAAGCTCAGTAAGTGAAGGGCTCTGCTGAAAACTCCCTGAAAACAACATTGCCCTGTGCTGGGACAAGGAGAGGTGTGGGAGAGCAATATTAGCCTTTATTACAGTGAGAATGTGTGTCTATATACTGCTTGCCTTTAGCTGGGTGCTAATGGGGACAGGGTTGTCCCTTGTCTCCATGATGGGCTTCAGAATAGAGGCTGGGTCATCCCTAGGCTGACAGTATCTGAACTTCTGTGGAGCTGAGATGTGGATCTGGATGTGCTTTCTGGGAGGTGCCTGACCATGTGTGTCCCTCACACCTTAGGTGTATGTGCTTACACCTTGCAGGCACCCAGAGGTTTCTTCCTGTGCTGCAGAGGACCTCTGGGTGAGCAGGGGTGGTCCTGCTCTAAATTATCCAGGAGGAGCCTGGATCTTTAATAAACTGTGTTTCTGTATCCTTTCTGACAGCACGGTTTGAGGACTTTGAGCCATTGGACACCCGTGTTCAGTACTTCTGGGAAGCACTCAACAACTTCACCAATGGTGAGTGATTTGCTCTGTCTCTGCGTATGTTGTGCCACAACAGCTCCTGCATGCTGCCTGGGAGCTGGGGGGTGAAACCACCCTCATGGCTGCTGAGAGAACAGATGGGAGCCAAGGAGAGCAGGCAGCTGGGCTGAAGGAACTGATTGCTAGTGCTGTGGCTGTACTCCACATCCCTCTAGGGTCTGCTGATGTCTTTGCTTTTCCTTCACAGAGGATCGTAGCCGCTTCCTCAGATTTGTCACTGGCAGGAGCCGCCTTCCAGCACGGATCTACATCTATCCAGACAAGATGGGGTGAGTCCATTCTTTAGACTGAAAGGCTGGCAGATCCCACACCAAAGGGATGTGTGGCCTGGTCTCCCTTGCTTTGCTGACCTGCTGGTTCTGACCAGTTTGTCACCTTCTCCCCAAGCTCTGAGACAACAGATGCTTTGCCAGAGTCATCCACCTGCTCCAGCACCCTCTTCTTGCCCAACTATGCCACGTAAGTTTTGGTGCTTCCCTTCATCTGGGAGTCTGTGTGTCTGGGCTCTCTTCTTAACCTTGGTGCTGACCTGTAGGGCCCCATCGCTTTTCATGCTTATGTCCCCCTGCCTGTGCCATGTGGCTGTTGTGATTCTCCCTGTGAGCAGCTGGTGAAGCGTAACTTCCATCTCAGAAAGCATCTTGTCTTCTTGGCTGGCAAATGCAGCAATGGAAATTCCTCCTTGTCTTTTATTTTCTCCCCCGTACCCCTTCCTGCCATCCCTAGAGCCAAGGTATGTGAAGAGAAGTTGCGCTATGCTGCCTATAACTGCGTGGCCATTGACACAGATATGAGTCCATGGGAAGAGTGATGTTGCAGCCTGACTGAGCAGCATGGACAATCGTTCGACAAAACTGTGCAGTGGGAAGAGCTCCCTTGTCCCCCCAGGATGTGTGTATATATAATAAACATACAGGTGTGAAGCCTGGCGCCCAGCAGTGATAACCAGCACCTCTTTGGACAGGGAGGTTTGGGTCTTCAGCAGGGTGGGAGGTAACTTGGCGTGTAAAAGTGATTGCAGTAATGAAACTGTGGCCCAGCCCTCATACATCAGAAACCTCTAGTAGGCTTTTGTAATTTTCTTCTCCACATGACCCTGTTGCAGCTCCACAGGCTGTGCTCTGCTCCAGACCAAAGTGGGGTAGGGCCACAAAGCTGCACGTCAGGTTACAGGACAGGACAGAGGACCGTGAGCTGCTGCTGCTGAGACCACGGGGGTGCTCAGAGATTCTCAGTGTGTCCTAGCCTGAGCGTTCTGACCACATTCCCTTGCCTTGTTCCTGCTCTCCCCTGAGGTCAGTGGAAATGAGATCATTCATGGAGGTTTAAGAAGAAATGGGGCAAGTTGCTGGCAGGTGCTGCAGGGGTGCCTCTGGCCACCAGGTGTCACAACAGACCTGCACAGCAGGACTGCGGGTGCTGTCAGGAGAGGGCTCCCATGCTTTTATATCGCACAGAATCCCAGTTCCTGTGACCACCCGTGGTTCCTTGCACAGCAGCGACTGCTGGGGGAGCTGCTCCCCTACAGGGGGGGAGAACTGTCTGCTTCCCTCCTGCTCTGTTACCAGTTCTGCATCCAGCATGCTGGTGGCCTAGCAGCTGTTCTCCCAGGCTCTTTGAACCTTGGTTTTCCCCTAAAAAACAGTATTAGAATTAATCCGTTCCTCGTTCTCATGGAGGTGTGCAGGCAGGGCCAAGCTTTTCTCCCAAGCAGCAGGGGTTAGAGCAGTAACAGGCACAGCAGCACCCAGCTCTTCTCCCCTTTGCCGTGGGGAGGTAGGTGGAGGTTTCAGATGGACAGGGAAAGCCTTTGACCCAGGGAAGTGGAGAGACTGTGGGTACCAAGGGTTGGAGCTCCTTGTGAAGATGGATATGCAGTGTGTGAGTGAGGGACAGGCAATGAAAACTTTACAACTTCAAGACCATTGGAAATGTTCCTTGATCTTCCCAGCCCTGGGCAGGGCTAGTCATTGCCTAGCACTGTGAGTTACCAGATGTCAGTCCACTTTTATACCTCCACCTTCAGCTTGTGTGGTCTGTTGGACCACCACTGCTAAGAGCCACTGAGTCAGTGGGGCTAATGCTGTGAGGTAAGATTTATCCTGTCCTAACAATGCCTTTTTCTCCTCTGTTGGAGTCTGTCATTACAACTTCCAGTTGTAAATGAAGTCCTTCCCTTCAGCATTTTCCTTTGAAACTGCTGTATTTCCAGGCCTGCTGAGGGAGTTTGTGCTAAAAGGGATGTAGGACCAGAACAGACTATGTGCTGCCATCTCCTGCACCACAGCGAGTGGAAGCAGTATAGGGTGAGCAGGGGGGCTTTCTAGCAGCCCTTGCCTGCAGCAGAGCCTTCCATGCTCAGCTGGGTGGGTGTGAAGTCCTGTCTGCTGGAGGAGGTTTTTTTGTAAATCCTAGAGTTATCTCAGAATAGAGCTTTTTGGCTTTGTGACTGACTCCAATGACCAGCATGGACAGAAGCAGATCCAGTGTGATACCTTGCAGTGCTGGTGGCTGAGTCATTTCCTAGGGTGTCTGTTTTAAATAGGTATAGATGAACTAGTGAAAGGACTTTGATCTGCTGTCTTGGCCTCAGTAAGAAGTGTTTTTGAAGGAGTCTTGTGCACTGAGCTGGGATTTGAAATGAACCATCCTAGATCCTTTCTGGTCACTGACATTTGGGTGGAATTGATCCTGCTTTTTCCAACCTTGCCCACTCGTCTCTGAGGGGGATCAGTGTTATTTACGGAGCAGAACTAGAAGTAGCAAGAAGAACTGACTCCTTTCTGATGCTTTGTTGCCAGGCAGGAGATGGTTGGTTGATGAGTTGCTCATAAAATGGCCCTAGTCTCTGGTGGAGGGTGGGCTGATGTCACCTGTGGCAATGGGCAGACTAAGAGTCACCTGGGGCTGTTTGGGGTGACCAGCTGCAGGGGAATAGGCACCTCTGGCTGAGACACCTGCAACAGGTGACCACTGGCTCCCCTGGCCTTGGTGGAAGTAACTGCAGCTGACAGGGTAACTGAGGTAATTATGGAGGTGCCCAGAGGAGCTCAGGTTTCTCACTCAGAGATGAGACACTTGGACAGCTGCTGTGCAGGGTCATGCTGAGAGCAGAGCCTGGCTGAAGTGGTGGGATCCTTCTCTAGAAGCATCATGTCATCTCCATCCTTGGAGATGCTCAAGGCTTGTTTTACAGCCCTGGGTAATCTGATCTAATTTACAGTCTCGCCTCACTGGCTTTAGGTCTAGGTCCTCCCTAACCTGAAGCACTTAATGACTGAAGTTACTGGCTCCAGTTTTTCCCAAGTTTCTGTACTCTTCCACCCAACAAGGTCTTCTAGCCCCTGACCTTTCACACTGTTGGGTTTATATCCTGCCACTGGAAAAAATGCTGCCCAAGAGCTTGCTGGAGTTTTGGTGTGAGTACTGGAGCTCGGGGGAAAGGGTCTAGCTGGTGACAGGGATTTTTATTTTAAAAATATTTGTAATAACAGGACCATGGCCGTAGCAGGAAGGCTGCAGTTGGGAGCTCATCCAGGATGGTCTGGGTTTAACCCTTACAAGCATATTGAGATAAACATTGTTTTACCATATATACCATTGTTTTACTGTCCCTTTTGTGTTATGGCCATGTAGATGTTGAAGAATGGCAGCAGCAACTGCTGTAGCATTACACTGGGGTGTAGAAACCTGTGAAAAGCCCTTCCAGTTGCAGGAAGAGCCCATTGCTGCAGCGAGGTCTCATTTAGTGTATGGACAGAGGGTCTGGACAAAAGTGAGTTGAGTACGGACACCAAGATTACCCACAGAGCATGCTGTTGAGTTTGCTGTGCAAAGGTGAGCTGGGAAGTCCTCTGTTTTGCCTATGATGTTTTAAAACCAGTCACAAACTGAATTTCTGCTGTGACAGCCCAGTGAATTGTGGAAAAGGTCAGCCTGGTTTAGCTCTGGCCAATCTCAGGGGCCTGAAGTAGGTGTCATTTCAGTACTGGGTCATGTTCTTTCTCCTCTGATCTCTAAAGTGTGTAGGAGCTGTCTCCTGCCATGTTTGACAACACAGAAATCAACTGCTGCTGCTTCAGACTCCTTGCTGCGTGTGGCCCCCCCGGGGTGGGGGAGCCCTCCTGGGCACCAGGAGCCAGAGGCTGAGGCTGTACATCCCCCCCTCCATCACCCAGCCTCAAGTTGGTTGAGATTAATTTTCCAGCCAGTGTCATTGTGAAGAAGGTTCTGGTGCCCCTGTGCTGCTGAGAAGAGGAAGCAGTTTCTTGGGCCAGAGTTGCTGGGGGAGGGACTGATGCTGTGACGGCTCCATGTAACCACTCGCTCTCTCCTGACTTCAGCTTGCTGAATTGTTATAGAATAGCTTCAGGTGATTAATAATGAGGGTGTAGTCTAGCTGTTCTTGTTATTCCACTAATATCCCGGAGTATGACAAGCTATAAATAGTTTGACAGGATCTGTCTGTCCCTACCTCATGTAGGATCTAAATAAAGTGAACATACTAACTAGTGATGATTTGTCTGGTCTGGCTGGGGCTCCTGGATCCTGTTGGGTTAAACAGTGATGGTGACTGGTGTCATGAGAGGCAGCTGGAAGTGAAGCAGAAATTGGCTCGGTGCTACCCTTTGCACACAAAGCGGTGTCATGGAGATGACTCAGCGTATTAAACAGCTCAACCCTTTCCAGCAACTCTGTAACCAGATTTATAGGGTGACGTGGCTGTGGAGGAAGGGCACGGGACCCTCCTGGCTGTGGTGGCCGCAGTTAGGACCGAGGCAGGAGTTTGCATTTCTCTCGCACTGCGGTTCGGGGCACTTTGCTCCTGGCCAGGCTGGTGCCTGTCACTGCAACAGTCGTGTCTGTTCAGTAGATAAGCTTCAGGGGTGACAGCTGTCGAACCTCTTTGCAGTGTGCCTTTACAGGCAGGGATGGAGCTGGACTCTGACCTTCCAGGAGAGCAGGCAGGCGCTGGAAGGGCGTGGGGACCTTTGAGCTCTGCCAGCCCGGTTATTTCCCGATCCCTTAACGCAGCTCTTCGTGCCTAGCCTTGGAGAAATTCTGGCAGCGTAGGGTGGAGCTGAGTTGCTCTCTGACACCGCCTCACTGTGGTATGCAACAGGCGGACATGACATGGGGTGACGCACCGCCAGCGTTCTGGGGTGGTTGGGTGCTGCCGGGTGTCACGGCCTCGCTCCTGCCGCCAGGATGCCGCATGGCCGGGGTAAAGCTGCTCCCCAGGGGGTTCCTGGAGCCTCCCCACCCGCTGCAGGCCTGCCTGGAGCAGGAATGTGCCCCCCAGCCAGCCGGGACGCCGGCTCCTCTCTTTTCCCTGCCCATGCTGGAGATGTAGCCCTGTGGCCTGACCCTACAGGCACCCCCACTCTGCTCGCAGGGGTACAGGCAGCGACAGGGGCGTTGGAGACCGGGAGGGAGCGGAGTCCTAAACTGCGGGGCGAGGGGACACCGGGCGGCGCCCGTCGGTGACCGCGGGACGGGGGCGGGTGTTACACGGTCGCATCTTGGCAAAGGGGGGATGACGGCGGCCCCGCACCCCGCTGGGGGACTATGGCCCGGGTGCGGTGAGGAAGGGCTGCGGTGTACTGGGGCGCACGGGCGGAACTGCGCCTGCC